ATCACCATCACCATCATCATCATCATCATCATCATCATCATCATTATCATCCTCATCATCATCACAATCATCATCATAATCATCATTATCATCAACAGCAGCAGCATCAGCAGCAGCAGCATCATCATCATCACCATCATCATCATCATCACCATGACCATCATCATCATCATCATCATCATCATCATCATCCTCATCATCATCATAATCATCATCATAATCATCATTATCATCAACAGCAGCATCATCATCACCATCATCATCATCACCATCATCATCCTCATCATCATCATCATCACCATCACCACCATCATCATCATCATCATCATCATCATCATTATCATCCTCATCATCATCATAATCATCATAATCATCATTATCATCAACAGCAGCAGCATCAGCAGCAGCATCATCATCACCATCATCATCATCATCATCACCATAACCATCACCATCAGCATCATCATCATCATTATCATCCTCATCATCATTATAATCATCATCATAATCATCATTATCATCAACAGCAGCAGCATCAGCAGCAGCATCATCATCACCATCATCATCATCAGCATCATCACCATCACCATCATCATCATCATCATCATCATCATCATCATCATTATCATCCTCATCATCATCATAACCATCATCATAATCATCATTATCATCAACAGCAGCAGCAGCAGCATCAGCAGCAGCAGCATCATCATAATCACCATCATCATCATCATCACCATCACCATCACCATCATCATCATCATCACCATCATCATTACCATCACCATCAGCCTTGTCAGCATCATCATCGTCAGCATCGTCAGCAGCAGCCGCCATCAGAATTACCACCACAACCACCATCATCATCATCATCATATCAGCCAGCGTTGACTCCAAATAGGTTAGACGACTCAAATCAAGGAATCAGAGGAATCAAGCATGCATGGAATCCGCAACTCAGCAATCAAGCAAGCGCGCAAGCGCGCAAGTAAGCAAGCAGGCAAGCAAGCGTGCCAGCAAGCAAGCAAGCAAGCAAGCAAGCAAGCAGGCATAGTCATAGGCGTAGGCATAGGAGTTAGGGGGGAGGCATAGGTATAGGCACAGGCATAGCCATAGGAATTAGGGGGGGCATCGGAAGTTTTGGGGGGGAACCGGACCAATTGGTAGGGTTTGAGCTAGGACTCCTCCAGGGCAAGCCTGGTGGAGATTCATCATCATCATCATCATCATCATCATCATCATCATCATCATCGTCATCATCATCATCATCATCATCATCATCATCATCAGCATCATCACCATCATCATCATCATCATCATCATCATCATCATCATCATCATCATCATCATCGACAGCATCATCGACAGCATCATCAACATCATCATGATCGTGATCATCATCATCATCAGCAGCAGCAGCATTATCATCAGCATCAACATCATCATCATCATCATCATCATCATCATCATCGTCAAGCTTCACCTTCATCATCATGATCATCAGCATCATCATCAGCACCAGCATCATCACCAGTACCAGCAGCAGCGTCAGCGTCATCATCGTCATCACCATCAACAGCATCATCATCACCACCACCACCATCATCATCATCACCATCACCATTATCATCATCATCATCATCATCAGCAGCAGCAGCATCATCATCGTCGTCGACGTCGTCGTCCTCCTGCTCATCAGCATGATCACACTCATCATCATCAGCAGCATTATCATCAGCATCATCATCATCAGCAGCATCATCATCAGCATCAGCATGACCATCACCCTCATTATCATCACCGGTTTCATCATCATCATCATCATCATCATCATCGACATCGACATCGAACTCATCACCATCATAATCAGAATGATCCTCCGCAGCATCCTCATTATCATCATCATCGTCATCAGCATCATCAGCATCATCATCGACACCATTACGCTCAGTTACAGCAACATCATCACCATCAGCATAATCAGCATCATCCGTATCATCATCAGCATCATCATCAGCATCATCAGCATCATCAGCATAATCATCTTTTTCATCAGCATCATCCTCATCATCTTCAGCATCGTTATCATGCTCATCCTCATCATCATCAGCATCATCATCATCCTCATCATCATCAGCATCATCATCATCATCACTTCTGCCTCCTCCTCCTCATAAATCTTTCTCCTCCCTCTGCTACGGCCTCCCCCGCAGCCCCCTCATGCTCCCGCTCCTCCTCCTCCTCCTCCTCCTCGCCATGCTCTTACGACCTCCTCTCCCTCCCCATCCTCCTCCCTCCACCCCATTGTCCTAATCCTCATTCTCATCATCGTCGTCGTCGTCGCCGCCGCCGTCAGCACTGTCGTCGTCGTCGTCGTCGCCGTCGTCGTCGGCGTCGTCGTCGTCGTCACATTGCTGCTCTTCATCACCATCCTTACCAACACCATGCCACCCCTCTTACTCCTCCCTCTAGGGAAGCGGACTCCGCGGCCCCGCTGGTCCTGAGATCGCCAGCTTCTGGGGCGGTATCTCGTCGCCTCCGTGGGGGGGGCGGAGGAGGAGGAAGAGAGGCAGAGGAGGAAGAGGGAACTGAGTAAATCCAGGATGCAAACGATGCGGCAATACGCCGTCCCACCCCAAAAGCTTCCCCCCTCACAAGTCCCTGCAGCGCTTCCCTTCCACTGCGGGAACGACCGAACCAACCACCTCTTCGGACAACCGTCCTGGCCTTGCTGAGACCAGATGGGGGAGGCCATGGCCTGTTGGAAGATTCACACGTGTCGTGACTGCGAGACTAGAAAAAGAAGAGGAAGGCGACAAAAGTTGATGTTCATGGCCTTCTGCCTTCGTCAAGAGAGATTCGTAGGAAAGCGAAGACAGGAGGGAGGCGGAGGAGGGGGAGGAGGAGGAGGAGGAGGGGTGAGGGAGGAGGAGGAGGAGGAGGAGGAGGAGGAGGAGGAGCAGGAGGATGATGATGAGGAGGATGAGGAGGAGGAGGAGGAGGAAGAGGAGGAGGAGGAGGAGGAGGAGGAGGAGGTTCCCACTGAGGGGGGGAAGGGGACGGCGGGAAGCACCCCGTCGAAGGACGAGCGCCTACTGGGGGGGGGGGGCCCTGCCTCACGGGGGCAGGGCCTCGCGGCGTTCCCGGGGCGGCGAGTCCCGGGGGACCCCCTCGCGGGGAGGGGGGGGGGGCCGCGGTGGTGTCGAGCGTCGGGGAGGCCCGGCGCCGGGGAGCGCCAGGAGGTCGGGTCCCGAGGGTAACGAGAGGGACGCGCAAAGACATACCAGTACTATGCGTCCTCCTTGGAGGTGCGCGTCCGACCCGAACGTATAGTATACCCATGTTGCAGATCGTTTCCCGAGCGGTGTGGCCAGAAAGCGCCCGCCACGACGCATATACTGTAAGACTCCTCGATGCGCGCGTCGCCCCTGGGAGGGCGACGCATAGTATTAGTATGTTGGGGTGACGTCGAACGAGGGCGAGGGGGCGTAGGAGCACCGTGTCGGGCCAGAGTCACAAGCGGCGAACCTGGGCCACCTGACTTCGCGCATCGCGCCCGCGCGACGAGCTTCACGGCCTCGCGCCGGTCTTTGGAGGGCCTCGCTCACCCAGGCCGCGATGCGCGAGGCGCGATTGTCTCGGCGCCCCAGGGGGAACCTGGGCGAACGTATCCAGATCCACGCCCTCGCGGTCTGGATTCCAGGTCGTGATCCCGTTGATACGCAATCGCACAGATACGTCCCGCGCGGGGCGGCCGCGCAAAGAAGCGCCCCGTCTCCGCGGGGTCGCGGCCCTGCGGCCCGGCCCGCAGAGGCGAGGATGCGGATGTGCTGCACGCCCACGGCAGGGGCCCAGGCGCGGAAGCGGAGACCCGCAGGCACTGCGAGGCTAGAAAAAAGGTGGGGCGCTGAGGACCCCGTCCGATGATCCTCAGAGCGCGTGCTAGATCCCATCCGAAGATCCCCGAAGCAACGCTGCTGAAACACCTCCGTGGCCCAGCGGGACAGGTGCGCGTGGCGGCACGCAGGGCGGGGGCTGGCGAAGCGTGCGCGAGGTTCCTCAGGAGGGGATCGGCCCGCTCCGACGAGCAGAGGGGCTTCCAGGAGGCAAGGTGCCTTCTTACAAGATAGAAGGGCTTCTGAAGGTAGGAGGCGTCTAGGGCATCTACCGATGGGCCAGTGCGGCGCAGGCGGCTCCACGAGGGGCCGACACGGACCGCGCTCAGTCGGCGGAGCCGGACGGGGTAAGCACGCGCTTGGGCTAACAGACGTCCTGAGGACCATCGGCCCGTGAGAATGGAAATGGACAGGGCGAGCAAGGCGACCAAGCGGGCACTGCGCCCGGTCAGAGCACAATCCTCCTCCTCCACATCCTCCTCCTCCTTTTCCTCTTCATCCTCCTCTTCCTCCTCCTCCTCCTCCTCCTCCTCCTTCTCCCTCTCCGTACTATTATTCAAAGTATTATCATGATGCTGGTTGTTATTATCATTGATGGTATTGGTACTAATAATTATCATGAGTACGATTCGTGTGAATACGTGTGTTATCAGTGTCAGTGCTATCATTATTCGTACACTACAAAAGGTCGCACTACTCTAAACATGACTGGTATTCTTAATATAATTACTATGCCTAGTCTTCTTGGTAGTACGATCATTCGTACTAGTCGTAGTAGTCGTGTTAAAAAAGCTCATTTGACTATGATTATATCGTAATATTATCATAAGTATTAGTGTGGATATTAGTAACAGTAGTAGTAGTAGTAGTAGTAGTAGTAGTAGTAGTAGTAGTCGTAGTAGTAGTAGTAGTAGTAGTAGTAGTAGTAGTAGTAGTAGTAGTAGTAGTAGTAGTAGTAGTAGTAGTAGTAGTAGTAGTAGTAGTAGTAGTAGTAGTAGTAGTAGTAGTAGTAGTAGTAGTAGTAGTAGTAGTAGTAGTAGTAGTAGTAGTAGTAGTAGTAGTAGTAGTAGTCGTAGTCGTAGTCGTAGTCGTAGTCGTAGTAGTAGTAGTAGTAGTAGTAGTAGTAGTAGTAGTAGTAGTAGTAGTAGTAGTAGTAGTAGTAGTAGTAGTAGTAGTGTAGCAGTAGTAGTAGCAGTAGTAGTAGTAATAGTAGTAGTAGTAGGAGTAGTAGGAGTAGTAGTAGTAATAGTAGTAGTAGTGGTAGTAGTAGTAGTAGTAGTAGTAGTAGTGGTAGTAGTAGTAGTAACAATAGTCATGGTTTTGCTTCTCGTATTACAGATAGTACTGCTAGCATGAACAGCGGTATTATGTTCAGTATTGATGTTATAGCTAATATGCGTCGTAGCATGTTTATGATTTTTATGGTAACGCAAACAAAATAAGGATTAGTGTTAGTAGTACTTGTTGGCCGCACTATAAGTCACAGGAGTATTATGGTTAGTCGTAATACGCTTCGTGTTGTTAGTCAGATGTTTGCACTGATAGAATTGATATGAGTGTTAATAGTAGCAATAAACGAATAGTGTTACTATTATTAGTAGCCGTCGTCTGATTAGCATTAATATTCTTATGACTACCATGATTAAATGATTCGTATTCGGATCATCAATCGTATTGCTATTGGGAAGATGAGCATTGATATTATTATTTGGATTCATGTTCGTAGTACGATGCTTTCTTATTCGTCCTCCTCCTCCTCCGCCTCCTCCTCCTCCGCCTCAGCCTCCGCCTCCTCCTCCTCCTCGTAATCCTCCTCCTCCTCCTCCTCCTTCTCGTCCTCCTCCTTCTCCCTCCCTCCCTCCCTCCATCCATCCATCCATCCATCCATCTCCCTCCCCTTCCCCCTCCTCTTGCTCCTCCTCCTCCTCCTCCGCCTCCTCCTCCTCTTCCTTCTCCTCCTCCTCCTCCTCGTCCTCGGCCTCCTCCTCCTCCTCCTCCTCCTCCTCCTTCTCCTCCTCCTCCCTCACCCCTCCTCCCTCACCCCTCCTCATTCGTCCCTCCTCCCTCTTCGGGTGGGCGGGCCCGAACGGGCGGATGGGAGCAGTTGGGGGCTCCACGTGGGGAACACAAAGCTTGGAAGGGTGGCCCGAAAAGGTCTGGCCACACTATGTAAACGCAACCCCTAGGGCCGATGCCAAGTCCCACAAGGAGCCCGAAACGAATGAGGCGTGCGCCAATACGATCCATTCTAACCATGTGTCCGCGCCACCAAGGGCAATGCTCAAGAGGATTACACCATTCCGCCTTCCCCTTCGGGGAAGGGTTTATCATTGTTCCCTATGAATGAACACCCCCTCCCCCACCCGGCCGGCAGCCAACACCCGGCCGGCAGCCAACCCGGAACCATGCGCAAACCATGAGGGCCCCCCCTCACCATCCCTGTCAAAAAACAATACAATACGCACTCTGCCTCCAAATTCGGAGCATGCGCAAACAACCCGATGCGGCCCCCCCCACCATCCCTGCCCAAAAAACAACCACAAAAAACACGATACACTTTGGGGCAAAGTCTGGAATCATGTTCGTGAGGCTCGCGGGCACTCTGTATTGTTTGTCGACAGGGACGGCGGGGGCGTCAGCATATTGCCTGCAGCGCGCAAAGGTTACCATCCCTGACAAACACACAATACAAAATGCACCTCGCGGCTTAATGTGGATAGTGCGCGGCCACCCCGCGATCATTGTGAAGTGGTTTTTGTCAAGGACGGCGGGGGTTGGGCGTATGGCCTGCTGTGCGCAGGCCCACCAGACACAATGATGGGCATTAGTTTTCGACAGGGATGGTGGGGGCCGACATGTTTCCCGATGTGTGCTGTCACGTGCGCAAGCGCACCTGACACACTCTGCACGTGCCCCGGACGTGGCACACCTGGCGCGGCTGGAGGGAGCATCTGGCGCACTAGGCGTGCCTGGCACGCTCGGGCCCTAGGGGTGCCTGGCGCGCGTGGCGCGCATGGCACGCGTGGCGCACCTCGCCCCAGCGTCGCATATGGGCTCGGTTTTGGTTCCCAGTAGCTGTCCATCAAAAGACGACCGCGGAACATGCTGAGGCTCGGGTGTTACTTATGTGTTGGAAGGGCGGGTGGGAGTGTGCTAGACGGCTTGCTATCTGGCATCTGGAGGGTGTCTTGACCCCTCCCCCTACCCCCTCCCTTGAACCTGGACGGGGGGGTCCGCGAGCGGTCAGGGCCTCCAAAACGGCATCGGCGAGGAAGCCAAAATTATTTGTGTTACTAGGTTTTGGGCCCCATTTTGGCCTCTGGGGGGGCTGGGCTAAAATAAACTCCCCTATTCTTTGATCGAGGCCCTCCAAGATGGCCCCAAGAAGCGCCCAGGAGGCCCCAAGAGGCCACAAGTTGGCCCCCTCAAGAGGCCTCCAGCAGGCCCCCAAGAGGATCCCAAGCGGTCCCAAGAGGCCCCCCGAGGCACCCAAGACGCCCAAGAACCCCCCAGGACCGCCAAGAGACCCCCAAGACGTCCCAAGAGGCCACCAAGAAGCGCCCAAAAGATATCCCAAGAGGCTCCGAGAGGCATCCAAGAGACCTCTGGCCCTTTTGCCTACCCTCCTCCTGGTGCTCCTCC